CTTATTATATATATATATATATTATATATATATATATATATATATATAAATATATATATTTATATTTATTAATATGAGATAAATATTTAATATTTATTATATTTGCATTTTATATATGATTAATATATATATTATAACATTATAATATAATTTTTATATTTATATGTAAATATATTTATTACATGTAATTTATTTAAATGAAGATTTTATATAATTAGTTTTTATTTAATTTAAATATTTTAGAAAATATATATATATATATATATATATATTTTTTTTCTTTAAAATTATTTTGAATATAAATTATTTTGTCTTTTATATTTAAATTAATTATTTTATATATATAAATAAAAATTCTATTTATTTTTATTTCAAAATAAATTAAAGATATTTTTATTATTTCATTAATAATATATATAAATTCTAATTTATATAATCTATTTTATTTTTTAAATATATATTATTTAAAAATATATAATATATAATATTTTATATAATAAATAAAATTACATCAGAAATTAATTATATTTTAATTAATAGCTATAGAATAATAATTATTTAATTAATAAATATATAATGCATAACCCTTCATAAAAATAGAAACATTAGGCATCTTTAGAACAATTGCTTTCTATACTAAAAGAATCTCCTTTCAAATACAATATTAAATCCTAAGTGTAAAGATATTTCGAAAAATAAATCTATGAAGAAAATAGATCAATCGAATGCTCTATAAGACCCCAAAACGAAGAAGAAAAAAATTAACTCAAATAATATGAAAAATAAATTAAATAAATATATTTATCAGACAAAGAAAAATTCATATAATTATAAGATTTTTCGTTTAATTAATCTCTTAATGAATCTCATTTATTTCCTTCTTATTAAAAAATAAATGATCTCAAAAAAAATGAAGAAACAGAACTTAAACACAAAAACGGAGAAGTAAAAAAAGATTAAATATATTTATTTATAAAATTTAGATATTATTATTAGATGTATGGGCAACATGGTGTGGTCCTTGTTAATAACCTATGTAACATAATCAAGAAATGCTAGAAAAATATGAAAATTAATGGAAAGATAATGTATTTAAATAATATATACAAATATATATATATATATATATTTTGAAAAAATAAATATATATATATATATATATATATATATATATATATAATTTATATATTTAAAAAGGTTAGAATAGTTGGTGTGAGTGTAGATGATAATAGAGATGTAGTTCTTAAAAGAATCGATGATAAAAAATGGGATAAAATAGAACATTTAAAGTTAAATGGATGGGATGGAGAACATCCTCTATTAAAAGATTTTTAAGTTAATGGAATTCCTTTTGTTTGCTTGGTAGGAAAAGATGGATAAATTATTTTTAAAGGACATCCTTCTTCTATTAATTTAGAAGATAAAATCAATTCTTTATTAAAACAAGGAGAATAATAAGGAAATTAATAATAAGAAAATAAATCTGATGTATATTTTTTTTTCATTATTTTTTTATATATTTCCAAAACTAGTTAAATAAAGACTAATATAAAATTATAAAATAATTAATAAAATAAGATCTCAAAACTTTTTTTTCTGATAAAAAATAATAAGATTTCTCATTTATTTTTAGTACCAATTAAACTAAAGTTACAATTATTACTAAAGAAAAAAAAATAAAAGAATACCATAAACCTACATTTAATGGAAAATTAGATGTAAAATATAAAAAAAACTTCGAAATTTTAAAAGATTTTATTAAAAATAATTTAGGAGATAGTTTCCCTTTAGATATATAAGAAAATGTAAGTTTAAATATATATATATATATATATATATATATATTTATATATATATATATATCATATATTTTTTTATTTTATTATTAATTATTTCTATTTTACAGGTTATTGATTTTATAAAATCAATAAATGAAGATATTAAATACTTAACTAATATATTTTTGTAAAACTAGCTTGTTAATTTTAATTTTTTATATACTGATTTATAAATATAATCTTTAGAATACAAAAATTTCTAAAAGCAAAACGAAAAAGTCTTAGATTTATTAGAAAAAGTATTCTTACCTGAAGAAAAGAAAGATATTGCTGAAAAATTATTAGATTTAATTCGATTATATGTTAAAAAATAATATAGTCTGAATAAACCTTATTAACATTTAATTTAATTATATAATGATGGTATTAAATATTCTACAAATTAAACTGATATTCAAAAATAATTATAAAATCATGAAAATGAATATAGAAAAGTTAAAGAAGTATTTAATAATGACCTTTTAAAAGATTTAGATATTAATTATGAATTAAATTATGATTTTGTATTTAAAATAATTAACAAAAGATAAATGCTTTTTAATAACAAAGGAGAATTCTAAAGTAATTTAAAAATACAAAAAAAAAATTATATAAAAATACCAAAAAAATTTATTTAAAAATACAAAAAAAAATATTTAAAAAATACAAAAAAAATTTATTTAAAAAATACAAAAATAAATATAATATAGGAAAATTCTATGAAAAACCTCAAATAATATACAGTATTTTAAAAAAAGATAAATAACTAATAGAAGAGAATTTATTAAATAAACTTGTTGAAAAAATAAATAAAGATATATTTGAAATAAAAGAAGATTTAATAGAAACTTTAGATATTGAATAAGGGGAATAATGCAATTATTGCCAAAAAAAACTCGAAATTCCATACTTTTATAATCATTTTAAGAAAGAATATGTATGTTATTAGTGTGGAAATGAAAAAGATGAAAGTAAATAATTCATTGAATAATTTAAAGTCCCTTATAATTTGATTTTAATAAATACTCATAATCCTCTTTTATTAAAAAATATCGAAGTTTATAAATTAGGTAAGAATATTTAGCCAGTAATAGGTTAAGATTATTCTAAAGAAGTACATGGATATGGTTGTAATGGAGATTGTTAAGTAAATGATAGAAAAACAAGATTTATTTGCTTAAATTGTAGACCTGGACCTTATAAATCTGATGGGTATATTGATTATTGTGAAAGTTGTGTTAATAGACTTATTATTGAAAAGAAATAAGAATCTATTTAAAGAGCTTTAGAAAGAGATAAACATAGTCCAGAACATTTATTATTTAAGTTTTTAACTCCTTTTAATAAAGGATATAATAAATATTGAAAATTTATAATAATTTTTTTTATTAAAAAAACAGAGATTATATATATAAATAAGATACAATATTAGATTATATTTATAAAACAAAACTATTTAAAAATTTAAAATAAATATTAAAATTAATAAAGTGAATAAATAATTATATTAAAATAAAAATATATTATAATATTGTATTTTTTATAATTAAATAGATATATATATAAATAAAAACATAAAATATATAATTCAAAATAATTAAATAAAAAAGCTTTATTTCTTATTTTTTAAAATAAAATTGCTATAATTAATTTAATCAATAAAAATTATAAAAATAAAAATTATATAAATTATTATATATTAGAATTTATAATTATAATGACATATTAATGTATATAAATATAAAAATATATATGTAAATATATATATATATATATATATATATATTTATATATATATATTTATTAAATAAATTTTCTACTTTTTAACAAAAAATTAAATTACTTCTTTTTTAATTAATTAATATTATATATTTATAAATTTAATACTTTAATAATTATTTATTTATTATTTTAAATATATATTTAAACATTTTTTTATTTTTTATAAATAATCTGAATTAGTATTTAATAATAAACTTAATAATATTTATATTTTTTTTTTTATTTAACATCATAAATTAAATTTTTTTATAATCAAATAATTATTTTATAATTTTAAATTACTTTAAATTTTTTATATATTTTTTTAAATTAATTAAAAATGCATTATATTAATATTTTTATATTTAAATAAATACATAATTAATATTTATTTTATATAATTTTTAAAGAAAAATTCTACAGTAGGAAAATATTACAATATTATACTTAATAATATTATATTTTTAGTTTATAGATTTATTAATATTTCCTATATTTATAAATATTTTAACTTTATTTTTAAATAAATTAATATTATTTATAATTTTCTTTAATTTCTATAGATTAATTTTAATACATAAATAAATATAACAAATTTACATAAATAAAATACTTTTTTTTTTTAAAAAAAAAAAAAAAAAAATTAAATTAAATATATGAATCCTCTTAAATATCAAACGCCTCCAAGATTAAATTCAAACTTAAAATTGCGCGATTAAAAAACACATTAAAAATCCCATAGTGATTTTAAAAGTAGAAATTAACTATTTTAAAGTCTTGAATCGAAATTAAGATAATAATCTAAATCTTTAACAAATTTATATGAATAATATGCCGACGAAATATAAATGGAAGAAAAATCTTAAGAAATTAAAAGCTTTTAAGATAACAAAGAGGCTTTTATATTATAAGGGGTGGAAGATTAAATATTAGAAACTAAAAGAATTAAATAGAAAGATTTAGAATAATAAATACACTTAAGAAATATTTTAAATGAATGCTAAAATTAAGAAATAAAAAGTAAGATTTTAATAGAAAAAATGCTAAAAAATGAAAAAATGCAACTTTAGAAATTTTATGAAGTTTAAGAAAAATTTAAGAAAGAAAATTTTGAAAAATATTAATTAGAAGAACATATTTAAAATTTAAATGAAAAACTTAAAACGAAAAATTACGTTTTTTTTAGTCTGGAGGACAATATAGAGAATTTTTTTGGATAAAAAGAGGAATTCAATAAATTCGAATTTAAAAATAAATAAAAATATGAAAAATTAGAAGGAAAAGTATTAAAAGGAAATTCTTTAATTGATTTTTTTGAAGTGGAAATCAATAAAATTTTATTCGATAAAAAATTGGTAGAAAAATCATTGAAATTAAAAAATATGGAAATTAAGGATTTGAAAGAATAATATGAAGAAATTTTTATGGAAAATAACAGGATAATGTAATTATTTAAGGATTTTAATTTTTTAGAAAAAAATATTAATAGTTCTTAAAAAACTTAGAAGGAAAACTTTGAATAGTAGATTTTGCCGGTTTTATAATTTAAACTAAAAAATGTTTTTGATTAAGAAATTAAGTTTAAATAATAAATGGAACAAATTTAAAAAGAAAATGAGAATTTTTTTATAAATATAACAAAAATTGGAAAAAATAAATGAAAAAATTTAAAACGAAAACGAAAATTTTTAAAAAATTAATGAAAAAATTTAAAACGAAAATGAAAATTTTTAAAAAATTATTGAAAAAATTTAAAACGAAAACGAAAATTTTTAAAAAATTATTGAAAAAATTTAAAACGAAAATGAAAATTTTAAAAAAATTTAAAATGAAAATGAAAAAATTTAAAATGAAAACGAAAATTTAAAAAAAATACTTGAGGATATATAAGAACAAAATAAAAAAATTAAGGAAAAATATGAAGAAGAAATCAATTTATTTAAAGCTAAAATTAATGAATTAGAAAAATAAAGAAAAGAAGAAAATGAAAACTTAAACTAAAAAGAAAATGAAATTTAAAATTTATAAAATAATTTCTAAACAATAAGGGATGATTTATATAAAGAAATAAAAGATAAAGAAAATTCATTAAAAAACTATATATAAAAATCTGAAAAAACAATAAGTAAAATATAAGAAGAAAATTAAGAAAAAATAAATAAGATATAAGAACAAAATTTAGAAATAATAAATAAGATAAAATCTATATTAGATAAAAATGAAAAAGACAAAACAAAAAATAAAGAAAATACTATATAAACTATAAAACTGGAAATAAATAATTTTGAAAATATAATTTAAAATAATATAATAAATGATTAATAAGAAACAAATAATAACGAAAACCTAAATTAAAAACCACAAAATAATGAAAACCTAAATTAAAAACCAGAAAATAATGAAAGCCTAAATTAAATATAAGAAAATAATGAAAACCTAAATCAAATATAAGAAAAAGAAAATAATGAAAACCTAAATTATATATAAGAAAACAATGAAAACCTAAATTAAATATAAGAAAAAGAGAATAATGAAAACCTATATTATATGTAACAAAAAGAAAATAATGACAACATAAATTATATATAAGAAAATAATGAAAACATAAATAAAAAATAAGAAAAAGAAAATATCTAATTAAATTAAAAAGAGGAATTGAAAGAAGAAAAACAAAATACTATAAATATTTTAGAAACGGAAATAAATAATCATATATAGGATATAAATAATAAAATAGAAGTAATATAAAATTAAAAAGATTAAATAAAAAAATAAAAAGAAGAAATGGAAAACTTACAAGAATAAATTAAATCTATTTAAGAATAAAATTTAGAGAAAATAGAATAAATCAATGAATTATAGGATTAATTAAAGAATAGTAATAATGAGGAAGAGAAAATGAAAATAATATAATAATAAGAAAATATTATTTAAGAAATAAATAAAGTTTCAAACGAAAATTAATAATTGAAAGATTAAATTTAGACATAAAATGCAATAAAAGGTTAAATTATTAAAGAAAAGGATACAATTATTTAGTAAAATATATAAAAAGATTACATTATTAACGAAAAGGACACAATTATTTAGTAAAATATATAAGAATATGAAAAATTATAATAAAAAATTGAATAACTTTAATAAGAAATTATAGAAAAAAATTGTTTTATTTAAAAAAATGAAGAAAAAATGATAACTTTAAATAAAAGAAATCAAGAAAATATAGATAGAATAAATATATAAGCTTTATAAATAAAGGAATTAAATGAAAAATTGAAAATTGAATAATAATAATTAATAATAACTGAAAAATATTAAAATTAAATTAAATATTTATAAGAAATAATAAATGAAAAAGATGATAATATAAAATAAAACTAAAATAATATATAAGAAAAAGATAAAAAAATAATTGAAAATTAAAAAAGTATATAAGAATATAAAAATTTAATATAGGAAAAAGATTAAATAATATAAAATAATAAATAATAAATATAAGAAGATGTCTATATAAAATAAATTGAAAATTTAATTTAATAAAAAGATGAAAATTTAAAAAAATATATGAAAAAGATAATTTAATATAGAAATAAGATGAAATGATATAAACTAATATATAATAAACATAAGATTATGAGAAATAAATAAAAGAAAATGAAAATAGAATCAATTAAAATAATATAAATAGTTAAATAATAAAAGAAAATGAAAATAAAATGAATTAATCATAAGAAATGAATAATTAAATGAATTAATCATAAGAAACGAATAATATAAATAGTTAAATACTAAAAGAAAATGATAAAATAATTAATAAATATGTAAATAGTTAAATAATAAAAGATAATGATAAAATAATTAATATATTAGATAAAAACTCAGAACTAATGTTAGAAGAAATATAAGATTTAAATAAAATTCAGGAAGAAAAAATTATATAATTATAATAAGAAATTAATAATATGAAAACATTTAAAAATGTATTTAATGATATAAAGGTTAAATTTGAATAAAAAAATGAGGAAAATATTAAGTTAAATGATGATAATAATAAATTAATTGAATATAATACAAAATTAAATGAATTGGTAACTAATTATGTCTAAGAAATGAAAAAAAGTAAGGAGATTTTAGGTAAATAGGACTAAATAATATTCGAAAATTAAGATTTAATTTAAAAAATGAAAGAAGAAATTTTAGTTTTGGAAAAAAATTCGATAAAAATAGAAAAATATGAACAGGAAATCAAAAAAATGCAAGAAAAATTGAAAAACAAAAAACAAAAAAATTAAAACTTGAAAAACTTTGTTGAAAAATTTCCATAAAAAATTGTTTTTAATAAATTTTCTGAAAAAATTTAAAAAAAAATAGAAAAAATTTTAGACGAGAAAAATCAAGAAATTGAAAGTTTGAAAAAAAAGGAACAAAAAATAAATTAAAAAGTTGAATTGTTTGATGAAATATAATAAAAAAATTATGAAATTAAAAAAAAAGATGAAGTTTTATAAAAGTAAAAAGAAACAATAGAAAATCTAGAAAATTAATTAACAAAAACAGTCTAAGAATTGTAAAAAATAAACGTTATTTTAGACAAAAATGAAAAACAAAACTAAACATTCGAATAATAAAACTAAAATTAAACTAAAGAAACATTATTTTAAGATAATAATTAAATAAATTTCGAAGATATATATAAATTAAACGAAAAACTAATTGAAAAAGTATAGTTTTTTGAAGATAAATACTACTTTAATGATATAAAAATTCAAGAAATGAAATTTGAGAAAAAAAATGTTTATAAAATTGTTATTTTCGGTTTTGAAATTTTGAATTTATTTTTAAAGGCTTTATTTTAAATTGCATTTTTATAAAAAAATGTTTATTTGAAAAATTGTTATGAGTTTTCTATTGAAAAAATAAGAAATTTTATTTAAGTTTTAAATGAGAAAAATGTTAGTTTATTTCAAAAATTTTCAAAATAAAAAATATTTTCGCCAAGTTTTTTTATGGAGTTTTTTGAAGTTGTTTTATTTTCATAAAATTTCATTTTTGGAGAAGCTAAAATTTTAGAAAAAAAATTTTGTTTGAAAATTTGAATGTTTTTTTTTTCTATATTCATATATACAATTTATTATTTTTATCCTTTTTTTACATAAATTTATATATTCGTTTTATTTATATTCGTTTATATATATATATATATACAATTATATACATATATATATATATATATATATATATTATTTATATATATTTTTATATATAAAGCTTTTTCTTATATTTTTAATTTATTTATAAAAATTATATTTACATATAAAAAGAAAAGAAAAACAACTTAAATATATATACATATATAACAAAAATGGGTAATATGTGTGAAAATTTATTCCAGAATAATAATAATAATTCACATTTAAAAACATCAATAAGTTAACCTTAAAAACCAAATTTATAACAAGATAGTAATAACTAAATAGAAATGAGCAGTAAATATACAGAAAACAATATCCCAGATTCCTCATATGCAAAAGACTCATATATAAGTTCCAAATCAAATAATAAATTAATAAAGAATAAAAACCCATACGATGATTATTAAAAATTAGCGTCAATAGGTCAAGGAGCCTATGGTTAAGTTATGTTAATAAAAAGACGAAAAGATGGTAATTTATTTGCTATGAAAGTAGTTAGAAAAGAGAAAGTATGCAAAAACGAGAAAATAATAGAAGCTACTTTATTAGAAAAAAAAATTTTAATGAAAAGTAAACACCCTTTTATAGTTAAAATGTATAAAAGTTTTCAAACAGAAAGTAAGTTGTATATAATTATGGAATATATGCCTTATGGAGATTTATATTCAGTATTATAAAAAGCTAAAAAATTTGATGAAAATACTGCAAGGTTTATATTTGCTGAAGTATATAATGATATATTTATATATACATATATATAGATAAATATATATATATTTATTTAAATATATATATATTTAAATATTTATACTTTATTTTTATTTACAGGTAGTATTAGGTATTTAGTATTTACATGAAGTACAAAAATCAATGTATAGGGATTTAAAGCCAGAAAATATATTAATAGAAGAGAGTGGTCATATTAAATTATCTGATTTCGGATTAGCTAAAGAATTTATAAATAAAGAGGATAAAGAGAACTCTTTTTTAGGCACACCTTAGTATTTAGCTCCTGAAATAGTACTTTAATATCCATACGATAAAAATATAGACTTATGGACTCTTGGCATTTTATTATATGAGCTTTTATGTGGAAAACCACCTTTTGGTGTTGGAGGCTAGAAGACTTTATATAGAGAAATAGCTATGAATAAACCAAAATTTCCTGATTTCTTTTCGTAAAATGCCGAAGACTTGATAAAATAATTACTTTAGAGCATTCCTAACAAAAGATTAGGTAGTGAAGGGTTTGAATAGTTAAAAATGCATGCTTTTTTCGAAAAAATAGACTGGGAAATTATATATACTAAATAAGTTGAATCTCCTTTAAAATAATATTTAAGTTTAAAAAAAATAGAAAAAGAAATAAGAGAATAATCTATACATGAAAGTCCTAAAAACACACTTAATAAATCACATTCTAGATAATAATTATATGGAATTTTTCCTAATTTTACATATAATCCTGGTTCTCTTATATTAGAAAATTGAAAAAACCAAAATTAATTTTTTATATATATATATAAATATTTTTAAAAAGAAAAAAAAATATATTAAATATTTTTTAAAAAACTATATTAATTTATATAAATAAACACACAAAATAAAAAATACATATACAAATATATATATATATTTATATTTATATATATATATATATATATATAATTTTCATTTTTCTAATATCAATTTAGATGTTTCAACTCCTTTCATAAATGGAAAATGATGATTAAAACCATCTAATTCTGTAAAAGTTCCTTATATTTTTTTCCGAATATTAGTTTTTTAGCCCCTTCTCTACACATCCAGTCTTCTTTTAACCTCCGAATAAAAAATGGACTGGTATTTATATATTTTTTCCAAAAATTTTTCTTCTAGGGGCTCTAAAGCATCAAATTTTGGAAATTTTAAAATTTAAAAAACGCATTTTTCTCCACTTTCTGGCATTTATAACATTTTGTCAAAATATTCTACCCAACTTTATTTTTGTTATTTATTTTCAGGGTGTAGGAATATATCTACGTATTTTTCAAGGATTTTTTATGTAGGGAAATTACTATAGGTATAAAGACGGTTAAAAGTGAACTAATTAAACCATACAAAACTAAAAAATTTATGCCAAATCTTCCTTAAGTACGTACTCTATTCCATATATTCGCGTATATTCTCTTCAGTCTATTTAGTTATACCTACTGGACTCAAAAGAAATACTTTTTCGAGTCTTTCTGGATGTTTAATGGCATATACACCCGATATATATCCTCCTAAACTATGCCCAACAATTGTAAAGGAATCAATTTGTAGACTTTTTCGCCATTCTTCAATACTTTAGGAAAAATAATCTAAAACTTATTTAGAACTCTCCATTTTCCATACTGGTTTTGAGGATAAACCCATACCAGGTAAATCTATAATATAAATCTCATATTTTTCTGCTAAAGGTTTGATCATTTTTGAAAAACTTAAAGTGGAACCTGCAAAACCGTGTATTAGCAAAATTTTAGGCTTTCCCTAACCACGACCATATACTAAAGTATGAATCCATTAATTTTCGTCTTAATATTCGGGTATATATACATCAAATATTTCTAGGTCTTCTTTTATATCTATTATATTTTTATGTATTTGTACATATTATATAGAAATATATATATATATTTATTGTTTAACAAAAATTTCATGAATATTAGTTTATTTTATATTATAGTTTATATATTTATTTATTTTTAAATAAGTTTTAAGAAAGAATATTAGTTTTTTATTTATTTATGTTAATTTTATATATATATATATATATAAATTTATTATATATAAGTATATTTTTTGTTTTTTTTTCATTTTCTTTTTTTATAATCAATTTTATTAGTTTTTTTTCATTTTTTATTCCATTTTTTTTTATTTCAATTTTATATTATTCTTATTTATAATTTTTTTTTTTTTTTTTCCATTTTTTTTTTTTTTTTTTAATTTCATTTTTTTTTTACCGAAACTTTTTAATACTTATAATTCACTTTTACGCGTTTTTTCATATAATTAGTAAATTTTTTGCGTCTTTAATGTTTTCTAATGTATAAGGATTATTAGTGGATAACATTATTCCTTTTAGATAAGAAGTGTTTTAGATATTTACAAAGAATAATTTAAAATTGATTATAATATTTCCATTTCTTATTTTTGCTTTTTAATTTTAAAATTTTAGACAAATATGTGTAGAAAAATATTAATATTAAAAAAAATTGTTATTTACCCTTTATTTTTATCAAAATATATAACATTAATAAATTTATTTAATTTTATTTTATTTTAGTATTTTAAAAACAAATGTAATTTAATTAATTAACTAGATTTAAAGCTTTATATTTAGAGAAAAAATAAAAAAAAATAGAGAATTAATTTATAATATTAGTCATTTTAGAATATATAAAATCAAAGTAATTTTTAAAAAATCCTTTTAAAAATATGAAAAATAATAATATAAAAATATACAGTAAAAATATAATGAAAAAATATTATTAAATATATTTATATTATATATATATATATATATATATATATTATAAATATATAATTTATTTTAAAATAAATATACTAATATTTCTCAATATATATACAATATTTAAAATAAAAAAAAATGAGTATATTAAATTAATAAAAAGAAAAAATTATATAGAATATTTTTAAAAATATATCACCACCTCCTAAAAAGAAATTAATACTGGCTTTAACAAATAAATAAAATATTTTAATTAACACATAAAACAACTAAAAAATAAATTGGAATGATTCTTTACCTTAAAAACCTCAATTATTTGATAAAAAAATAAACTCTAGAATAATTAGGAATGATTATGGAAAACAAATTGATAATATAGATAAAATAACATGTAATTTACATTAAATAATACATTTTTTTAATTTTTAAAATGTAAAAAAACAAAAGAATTATATTAAAAAGAACTTTTTGAAATCGAAAATAATTTAAATATTTAAAATTAAGTAATTTTTTTTTTTTTTTTTTCGAATATTTCTTTTCTTTTTTTAAAAAAAATAAATAAACATATAAAAGCCAAATCAATAAATTTAAGATAAATACTAAAAAATTAAACAATAATAAGAACTAAATAATTATCTTTAAAAATAAATTTAATAATTAAACAAAAAAAAATATTAAAATACTTCTTTTTCACCTATAAAAAATAATCAAAATTTACCGTAAAAAGATAAAAATTCGCCTTAAAAAGATTAAAAATATAAAAATTCGTTTGAAAAAAACAAATATTCGCCTTAAAATAATTAAAAATATGAAAATTCGGCTTAAAAATTCAATAATTCTCCTCAAAAATATTAAAAATTAAATTAAATATAATCTTAAAATATATATGAAAAACCAGAAAAAGATATAAAAAAATGTCCTTTAATAAGCAAGGCAGCACATAAATTAGTAGAGAAACATTCTGAAGATATTACTGATTTGATTTTAGATGATTTTTTAATTGAAATTGTTTAAATTTTATAAATAAAAGAATTATAAGAATGTGAATAATAATAATCCTTTAAAAGAACAGCCTTGTTAAATGATTATCTATATGAATTTAAAGAACTGGCAGAAGAATAATGTAATATTATAGAAAAAATGGGATAAAATGATATATAAAAATTAAATTTTTAGAATTTAAATGAACTAAAATAAGATGAATTTAATAGATTTTATGTAAATAAATGTTCTTGGGAATATTATTGGGTTCAAATAAATATGGGGCTAGGGTTTTTAGTAGATATATTAGAAAAAAAGGAAGGTTTTGAGAAAAAGAAAGTAAAAAAATATGATAAAAAATTTCTTGAAGATATAAAAGAGTTTGGAGAAAAAATTATTTAGGAAATTATTAAAGAAGAAGCTATTTTAATAGAATAAATAAATGATTAATATGCAGAATTGTTATTTTAAAATGAATTTAAATGATATATATATATATATATATATATATATATATATGTTAAAAAAATTATATAAAATTATTAAAAATTGTATTTTAATATATTATTAAGAATTATAATTTTTAAATATTATAAAATTAAATAAATATAAAAATATATTTATTATATATATTTATTTTATATATATTTTTGTATTTTAAATTTAATTTTTTTTTAAATAAAAATAAAAAGATATTTTTTTTAGAATTTTTATTTAATGGATTAAATCGGAAATATAATATAAAAAAATAGTTATGTTTAAAAATATATTAATGTATTTATATATTTTTATATAACTAGGTTATTTTATATTTTTTTATCATCAAAATTGATTTTTTTTTTATAATTTCTTGTTTTTTGCATTTTTTTCTTAGAAAAATGTTTTCTTCTAAAAAACTTTTTGTTATTAATTATAATTTTATATTTTTAGAATATTTTATTTTAAATTTTTTTATTTCAAAATTTTGTTTTTTTTACATAAATTCATAAATTTAATCTAATTAATTATTTTCTTTATTTATTTTTTTATGAATTTCATTATTTTTTTTGGATAATTTTCATTTATTTTTTATCATTTTTTTTTTATTTTAATTATTTGTTTAGATCATATATTTCTTTAATTTATTTTTATAAAAAAATTTCAATAATTCCTCATTTATTTTTACCTTAAGAATATATTTTCTATCTAAATTTATCTAAAATGATGTTTTTTCAGTAATTTAAATGAGAATTACCTTAATTTTATTATCTTATTTCTGATAATGATCATTCTTTTTGTATTTTTGTATTTTTGTCTTTAATTTAGATATATAAGTTACTTTATTTTATTTTATTTTATTTTTAGTTTTGTATTTATCATGTGAAAACATATATATGAATTATTATACTTTATAAAGTTATTAAACATATATTGTTTTTTTTTTTTATTTATTTATAAAATAAATATAGTTATTTATATATATTATTAAAGAAAACCATTTTTATATTATTTTGAATTGACTTTTATAAGTATATCATTATTAATAAATATATAATATATAATTATATAACAAAAGAATAAAATAAGAATTCTTTTAGATTTATATATAATAATAATTTTAATATAAATTAATAAAAAACTATATAGATTAATAAAATAAAAAAAAAAAAAAAAAATATTAAAATTAATATTTTTATTTATATATATATATAAAATAATATAGTTCATTTTTCTTTGTTTATAATTTCAGAATATTAACAATTCTCATATTCTTCCAAAATATAATCTTAAGTTTACAAATTTAATGTTTCAATTCCTAAAAAACTAAAAATTAATGAAACTATACCCACTACAAGAAATATAATATTTAAACTTAAGCCCTATATATTTCCAAAATCAAGAAAATAAGGGATAAGTGCAGCTCCAACACTTCCCATAGCTAAAATAAACCCAATAGCAATTGTAATAATACTAGAAGGAAATATTTCTGTAGTTTAAAGATAAAAAATATTAAATTAATTTCCTAAAAACATTTTAATTACACACATGAAAACAAGCTATTAATATTAATTTGTTGTACTATCAAATAATAAAAATATAAAAAAACCTATACAAGCTAATATTTAATATCCTATATATAATTTTTTTCGACTTCTATTTTCAACTAAAAATACTTTTTTTATATATATATATAAAAAAAAGAATATATATTATATAAAAACTAAGATTCCATATTATAAAAAAAAAAAACAAAACAAAAAAAACCGTATTTTACAATTAAAAGTAAATCCTATAGTTTCCGAAATTCCTATGAAAAACGTATTTATTCCATATTCAATTCCAACTAAATCAGAAACAAACATAATGCCATAATATTAAAAGCTAAGAAAAACAGCTTATAATGAGAATATAATTGTATTAAATCTTAATGATTTATATCTAAATAAATCCCAAAAATAATATACTTATCTTTAGATTGTAGGAAATACTTCAAGTTATTCTACTTTTATATCTAATTCTAATCCATTAAAACTTCCTATATATTTTAATATTTAGAAGGCTTTTTCTGTGTTAGTTTTCATTAAATATCTTTATTATTTTTTCCATTTAAAATAAAATAAATACGTTTTTATTTATATACTTAGGTGTTTCTTTTATAAATATAATTAACCAAAAAGTTAATAAAGAAGGTATAATTAACACAAATAGCATTAAATTTCTCCAATTATTTATATAAAAAGAAGAAAGAAAATATAGTATTTCTGTAAATCCATAAACACAATAAATAGTTAATAAATAAGGTTATTTTTTACAATTGGCTTTTATTTTTAATTTTTTTATATTGTTTTTTTTTAAAATAAAAAAAAATACGCGAAATTTCATTAAAATAAATATTTACTAAAACTAAGTTTGGATTAGATGCAAATCCTAAAAGAAAATTACCAAAATTTAATAAAATATAAGAATTAGAGAGATATTGAAAAAATGCTCCGAAAAAAAAGACTATTATACATATTCTCAATGATATTTATCTGCCAAAATTATCACATAAAGAAGATATTATAAAAAATCCTAAAAATCCACCCAAAAAAAATAAAGCTTATCCATCTAATCTTAATTATCTTTTTATATTATTTATTTTTATTTTTTATTTTAGTTTTTTTTACCTATTTTCACAATATAAACCATATTCCAATGTTGCAGATTTATATGAATTTAAGTAGTCTATGTTACTTTTTTCTTCACAAGCGCCATTATATTCATTACATAATTATTGATTTTTACATATAAAGTATGGTTCTTTGTATATTTGGACTACGAATAGTGCACTAAGTGTCTAGTTTTTTATATTAATGTATTTAAGTTATTAAAATATAATATACCATTATTATTTATTATATTATGATTTATACAAAAACAAACTTTTAATATTTTCCATTTAAGAAAGTTTTTTCTAATATCTTTTTTGTTTTTTATTTTAATATTTTTTTTGTTTTTTCTTTTTAATACATTATCAACTGAATACTTTATTATTTATTATTCATTTTATAATAAATTCATTTTTTTTTTATTAATTATTTATTTAAATTGTAAATAAATTATAGTATTAATAATTTATTAAAATTAATAGAAATTTTTAATTAATTTGAACTTATATTACTAAGTAAATTAAAAAAAAACGTAAAATATATATTATAGTCTTAGATATTTATTCCTATTAGACTAATATCGATAAATAAACTTCTTATAATTATATGTATAATTTTTATTCAAATATTAATAATTTCTTTTGAGAAAATGCTAACAAAAAAAATATAATACTTGCACTTAAATTCTTATAAATATTTCAAATACAAAGGTTATAGAAGAAGAATAATAATTAATGTAATAAATACATAAATTGATTTAAATATAAAAAAATGTAATTAAAAAATAAAAAAAATATGTATTGTTGGAATGACATAAAAAAAAAAAATTATTTAATTGAAATTTAAAAAAATATATAAAAATGATAATATATATAAAATTTTTTACTTAAATCTAAAAACAATATAAATACTGATATTAAAAAAAAATATATTGAAAATATATAATAATAATATATAATAATTTTTTGTAAATATATAATATATTATCAAGTAAATGAAAATATAAAAAAAAAACTACGAATTTTAATATGATTAAAATAATAAATTTATTTTATAGAATATGTATATTTAAATATAATAAATTATTATAATTATATGAAATTATATAAAAATATTTGACATTATAAATTTTAAAATTAATTATTTAATAAAAATATTAATAATATAAAAAAATTAAATAATGTAAATTAAATAAATATATATATAAATATATATATATATAAATATAAATTTATATATATAAATTTATATATAATTATTTAAATTTTTTAGAATTATATTTTCATATATAATCTTTATTTTTTATATAATTCAATTAATAATAACTAAAAAAATAAAAAAAATATATATATTTATTAAATATTTAAAAGGAATTATAATAAATAAATTAATAAAATTTCTTATATTATAAAATTATCCTAATAACAAGTAAAATTAATTAATTATTTTTAAATAAATATATAATAATTTTAATTTTTTTTATATAAATATAAATATACTTAACATAATAGCATATATCTTTATTACAATTATTTAATTTAATTTTTTAATTTCTTAATATAAAATTTTTTTAATAATATCCTATATTCCTACAATAAAATTTATTTATTCATTCATATATTTTTTATATTATCATAATTCTATTCTATCATGATTTACTGATATTTTCGCTTATTTCTATGATTGTTTTATTTCTTCAGCTTTATAAAACTTCTTATAATATTTATTATTAAATGTTCATAACTAAATTATATATTTTTTGTAAATTCTGTATATATTATCCATTTTTAAGATAAATCTAAAAACATTAAATTTATATATAAGAATATATAAAATTAACTTTTTTTATAAAAATATTTATATTAAAATATATATATAAAATATGTCCTATAATTAACCTTTAAGTATAGCTTTTATTCATCCTGATTTAGGTATAGGTGGCGCTGAAAAGCTAATAATTAACCTAGCTATAGCTTTAAAATAAAAAGGTCATCAAATATCTATATATACCCCATTTTATGATACAAATCATTGTTTTTAAGAAACAAAAAATTTACATATAGAAGTCCATGGCAATTTATTTCCACGTACAATATTCGGTAAAATGTGGGCTTTTTGTGCCAATATGAGGATGTTATTATGTACTTTATTTTTGCTTTTTTTTAGGAAAAGATACGATCTTATAATCGTCGATTAGGTTACTTTACCGTTAATAATATTACGTATTTTCGGTAAGAAAAGCATTTTTTATTGTCATTTTCCAGATAAATTACTATGTGTTGATAGAAAATCTATAATAAAGAGGTTTTATAGATTTTTTATGGATTATATAGAAGAATTTAGTCTACTATTTGCCAATAAAATACTTGTAAATAGTCTTTTTACATAAGAAATTTACCTAAACTCCTTTCCAAAATTAAAGAAAAGGCAAAAAATACCTGAAGTACTTTACCCAGCAGTAGATTTTTCTCATTTAGTGATAAAAGACGATTAATAAATATAAAAAAACCCTTATTTTTTAAGTTTAAATCGTTTCGAGGGAAAAAAGAACGTTATTTTAGCCATTTAGGCTTTTTCGATTTTTTTGAAAAAACATGAAAATTGTGAATTGGTAATTGCTGGTGGATATGATGAAAAAATAAAGGAATATAAGGAAAATTTAGATTTTTTAAAAAAAGAAGCATTTTCATTAAAAATCAAAAAAAAAATTTCCTTTAAATTAAATATTTCAGATTTTGAGAAAATATAACTCATAAAAAACTCAATAGGGGTACTCTATACACCCCCTAATGAACATTTTGGAATAGTACCTGTAGAATGTATGTTTTTGGAAAAAATTGTACTAGCTTTAAATTCAGGAGGACCCAAAGAAAGCCTAAAAGATGAAGAATGTGGCTTTTTATTAGAAAATAAAATCGAAAAATGGGCTGATAAAATGGCGTGGGTTTATGAAAACTAAGATAAATGTAAGGAAATGGGAAAGAAAGGGAAATAAAGAGCTATATAAATGTTTGGATTCAGTTAATTTGCTAATTATATTGATAACTTTGCTAAAGATACACTATTAAAAGAGATAAAATGAAAAAAATATTTACACGTGTATTTTTTTAAATTAATAGATATTTATTTTTTAAAGGATTAATTTATGTAAATTAATTATTATATGGAAGTTTTTAAATATATATATTTTGTAAAAACTTATAGTATATTTGATAAAAAAAATATGAATATATATTTTATTTAATTATTAAAAAATTTATCTTTTAAAGATATATTAATTATTTTATATTTAAATAATTATATATATTATAATTTTTATTTTATATAAACAATTTGTATTAATAAAACTTTCTTAAAAAAATAAAAATATATAGCATTTTTTATTTATAACAAAAAATTTTACATTTTATTAATTGTCATTTTTATTTTTTAATATTAAATTATAATTTTTATATCAAAACTTTTTTTTTTTTAAAAAAAAAATATTTTATATATACAATTCAATAATTTTAAATTATATTTACAATTTTTTATTTAATATCTAATTTTTAATTTTTTTTTTTTTTTTAAAAAAAAAAAACTTTAATTAATTTATAAAAAAAAGTAAAATAAACCATTCTTTATAAGTAATTATAAGGTTTAAATTTTTTTTTCAAAACAACTAAATAAATAAATAAATAAGTATTCATTTGATATGTCTAATAAGTAAAAAAAAATCCATAGAAATACACAAAATATAATATTAAATAAAAAAGTTATTATAACTAACAATGGAAATAGGCTATCAAAGAATTAACGCTTTAAATGAATTTAGAAATGTATCCTTTTGACGAAAATGTCCAAGAAAAAGGAGTAAAAATAAAACATTATAAAAATAATAATATAAACAAAAATAAAAAAATAGTTAAAATATAAACGTTCGGATCTCGAATGGTTTAATTATTATGCAAATCTATATATAAAGTATATTGATTGCTATCGTAAACTAGAAAATTGTTACGATTAAATGCTAAATCCTTAAAAGCGTATTCTTTTAAAAGAACTACTTGACAATACAACCTTAAGAATGATATAAGTGAAATAAGTAAAATATTTTTATTTTTTAATATTAAAAAAAAAAATATTTTAAATTATAAATTTACATATGTAAAGAATATAATCTATTATAATACGCATACATTAAGTATAAGAAGTGAATATCCTAATTTAGACGAAGTTTTAAAATAAAATAAATTAACTCCTTAGGCTTTACATATTCCTATTCCTAGACATATGGTGGAGGAAAATCAAGAGGAAAGAAACAAAAGAAATTAATTAATAGAAAAGTTAATGATGAACTACCATGAAACAACAGCGGCTGAAGAGGAGTAATTTGTTGATAATGCTACTTTTTTTGATAATAATATATAACATGCAATATGTTGTATATAGAAAAATGAAAGAGGTTTTTTATTAAAATATATATATATATATATATATATATATATATATATATATATATATATATATATATATATATATTTATATAGGTAGACAAGGTATAGAAAGAGCATTAATAGCAAAAACATTAAGAAAATAAGATTTATATAGAAAAGAAAAATAAAATAAATTAAAATAAGGACATGAAATAGAAGAAGAAACAGAAAGGGAACAGGCCGTTTTGGTTATTTAAAAGTACTATAAAGGATTTAAAGGAAGAGAATAAATTTATTTTATGAGATAAGATGAATTAGAGTTTTTGGGAATATTTAAAAAAGATAAAGACTTTAATAATATTTATAGTGATGAATTTAAAGAAATTTCATATAGGAATGAAATGAAAAAAAAATAAGTAGAATAAGAAAAAGGATATAAGGAAGCTTTGGAAAACATAAAAGGAGATTATTTGGAATTTTGGGGCGATGAAATTCGCGATAAAATGCTTTAAGAAAGAAGAGAGTGGATTCATGATTTTCTTATTAAAAGAGAGTTCAAAGGATTACCGAAAAAAGCTAATGAATTTTATGATAAAGATAAAGTTGCGATGCCTTTGACACCGGAAGAGGAAGAACTTTAAAGAGTATTAGAAGAATAGGCTAAAAAAGAGAAAAAAAAAGAAAAAGAAGCGAAAAAAGCAGGAAAAAAAAAGAAAAAAAAACTACTCAGAAAGAGATGAGTTTATAAAAGAAAGAGTCTGTAAAGGACCATCTGAAGCTATTTTAAAAATTCAAGAAAAAATTGAAAAGCATAGTCTTTAATGGGTAAATTAAAAAGATAAAGTACATGAATTTGATGAAGAAATGATAAAAGATGCGATTTTTCCAGAAGTCGAAGAAAATGTAAATCATTATAAAAAATTTATGTAAATAAATAATTGTAAATAAATATAAATATATAAAATAAATATATATATGTATATATATTTATATATATATATATTTTTTTTTTCAAGATAAAATATATGGTAGATGATATAATCGATATGGAGTTAGCAAATTTGAGATTACGATATAAAATAAAAAAACCTAAAAAATCTAAAAAAAAGAATAAAAAAGGCAAAAAGAAAAAAAATCTAAAAAAGTTCCTGGAATGAAGGAAAATAAAAATAGAAATCCTAAAGATATGTTAGCTGAAGTTAATATATTTATTATTTTTTAAATATATATATATATTATAAATATTAGCTTATAGATTGTGGAATAGTAAAAAATTTCGAAAAATGTAGAATGGATGAACTTATAGGCGCTCCTAATTACTTGCGTATAAAATAAGAAGAAAAGCAAGAACTTTAACCTGATCCTAGTATGTTTGATATAAGGACATTTTTAACAGAGAATATAGTAATACCTTTAGGAACGCCTTATATTAAAGAAAATATTGAAAAAATGAATTATTTTCATTTTTTCGGACCTCATGGGTCTGGAAAAACAATGGCTGTAAGGGCTATATAGACAGAAACTGATTCTATTATAATTGACCTATCGCCTAGTTCTTGGGAGAAATTAGACCCTAATAAATATTATGATAAGAATGGGATTTCTAGAATACTATATATGTCTTTTGAGGTTGCTAGAAAATATTAGCCTGCAATAATTTATATAGACGAAGTTGAGTAAATATTTAAAGCTAAGAAAAAAAAAAAGAAGTAAAAAGGTGTATAATAAGAAAAAGAAAATACTACTCCAATTATTTCCTTTGCAAAAGTAAAAAAACCTTTGATGAAATTCAAAAAAGCCAAGTTTTTCAAAAAGGAAGATCGGGTTGCGGTTATTACTTAGACTACTTAGCCTTGGAATTGTGCGAAAAAAATGCTTAAAAAATTTGCTGAAAAAAAGTTTTTTTCCCATATCCTTCTTATGGAAATAGGAAAATTCTAGTCGAGAATTTCCTTAAAAAACTTGGATTTTAATTTGATCATAATTTTCCGACATCTACTTTAGCGCATATTACTGAAGGATTTACAGCTGGAAATGTATATATATATTTTTATTATTATTATTTTCTATTATTATTATTTTTAGTACTGTGAGGCTTTTTAGAAAATTATTACTTAAAGAAGACTTATGTAATTATAAGAAAGGGTTATAAGTTTAAATGAATTTGTTATTCCTTTATCTAATTAGCCTAATATTTATGCACAAGAATATATTAAATACAGGGTATGTTTTTATTTTTTTTACTTACTTTTTTTATTTATTTTTTTCTAGGAATTTTGGGATGAAATGTCTGGGGTAAAAGCCAGGAGAAAGAAAAAGATGAATCCTGAAGGAGAAGATGATAAAAAAGGAAAACAAAAAAAATTTAAAAGAAGAAAAAATGATTTTCTATTAAATTTTATAATTATAAATATTTATTTTTTGATAAAAAACTATATATTTATAAATATACTAAAAATTTTTAAATGTATTTTTTTAAAAAAAAAATAATAAATTTTTATAACTTATTTATATCTAAAAATATACACATTTATATTTAAAAAAAAAAAATGTAAAAAGACCAATCAAACTTAAATAATATGAAAAAAACAATAATGGACTAGATTGATAAAACATTACAAGAAAGTCCATTTAAAATATAAAAAGAAATAAACTAAAATTTAATAAATAATGAATTAGATGATAAACAAACAATTTAAAATTTAAAATAACTAAAAAATTAAATTTTAGCAAAGGAATAATTATAAGAATAAAATGATTTTTATTTGAAAAACAAGAACAATCTATTAAATGAAGAACTCGAAAATATGAAAAGTAGAATACATATATTATAAGATTCTTTATAAAATAAAGAAAAAATAATATAAGAGTACAAAATTTAATTAGGGTAAATAGGAAATAATAAATAATAAAGAGATTTATATATGTAAAAAAATTACGAAGAAATGTATAGCAATTTTATGAGTTTAAAAAATAAATTAAAAGATAAGAAAGTTGAAATAAATATGTTAAGGTATATTTTATTTTTTTATAAATAAAAAACAAAAAATAATAAAATATAGAGAAGAAAATTAAAAAATGTAATACGAGTTTTCTGAATAAAAACAAATGCTTGTTGAATAAAAAAATTATATTGAATAAAATATGAATGAATTAATGAAAAATATCGAACATGAGCGTTTATAATATTTAGAAACGTAAAAAAATCTTGATTCAGTTTAAATTGAATTATAAAGTGTTTAATTATAAAAGGAGAAATTATAAAATAATGTAAATTCATAGGAGAGAATAATTTAAGAAATAAAAAATAAATTAAATTAATAAATTGAGCAAAATAAATAATATTAAATTGAAAATGAATTTCTAGAGAAAAAATCACAAAATAGTAATAAAGAAATGCAAAATATATAAAATAAACTCGAAAAAATGAAATAAAAAGTGGAAATTACTGAAACTGAGAAAAAAAATGCTTTAGAAAAAAAGAAAAATAAATAGAATTTATTAAAAGAATAAATTAAAGAAATCGAAAAAAAACTCGCTTCTTTAAATTAACAAGCCTTTTAATATAAAAGCGAAAATGAATCTTAATAAATTTAAATTAAAAATATAAATTAAGAACTTTTAAATAAAAATTAGGAAATTTAATCATAAAAAGATATTATGTAAATTTTTACTTTTCTAAAAAATAATTTTATTAAAAAATTAAAAAAGTAATAATTTAACAGATGACTTAGAATAAATAAAATATTAAAGTAGAGATGCCAATTTATTTTTGAAAAGAGAATAATAAGAATTTAAAAAAACTTAAAAAGAAATATCAGGACTTTAAGAGTAATGTAAAATTAAATATTTGAGAATTAATGAGCTTTAGTAATTATTAGATTAAGAAAGGGAAAACTATTTATGTTTGGAATAAGAGTTTTAATTAATACATGAAAAAAATAAATAATAATAAGAATATTTAAATAAAGTAGAGAAATAGAATGAATTTCTTACAAATAAATAGAATAATGACATTGATATTTTGGAAGATAAAATATAATAAATAAGTTCAGAGTTGAATTTTTTAAAAGAAGAAAATAATTAATTTAAAAAAATAAATTTATAAATATCTAGTGAATTGAAAAACTATGAAAATAATAATTTGTATTTATAAAAGAAATTAAATAAATATAAATCTTAAAATTAAATTTTATAAAATTCGCTAATTGAAGCTGACCAAAAAATTCAGGAATTTCTTTTCCAATAAAACAATGGATTAAAAAGAAGTTAAATATTATGAATAAAAAAAGATCTAAAAATTATAATTTTTTTATATTTTTAATTTTTTTGTTAAAAAAAAGAATGCTAATTTAAAATTTGAATAGAAATATCTATTTTAAAATTTAATTTTTTTACATTATAAATAAAATATCATTTTTTTTTTAAATTAAAAAAACTATTTAGTAATTTTTAGTTCTTATATTATTTTAATCTCTAAATTAGTGTTTTAAATAAAAAAAATAAATAATCATTAAAAAAGAAATATATATATATATATATTAATATTTTAATAAAATTATATTTTATTTAATTTTACATATATTTATTATTTGTATTTGTTATTATGATTTTATTAATTACTATTTTATTTATTAATAGTATTTTTTTTTATAATTTAATATTTTATTTAACAATTAGATTTTAAAGATTTGAAAATATATAAAATTATTAAAATAAGTTAATTTAATAATACATTAAATAAAAAAGAAATTATATTTAAAAGATTATTTTGTAAAATATCGGATAAATAATATAAAAATTAATAAATCTGAAAATAGGAGATAAAAGATGTAATTATGAATAATAAAATTATTAATTTTATTTATTTAAACTTTAGTTTTTTTTAAACAGAAATTTAATATTATTAAACAGAAGTGTAGTTTACTAAACTAGTATTGGTAATTACCTTTATTAAAAAGGAATTATTTTTTTAAATATAGGCAATTAACTTTATTAAATATTACTTAAATATTTATTAATAAGACATTATTAATCATAAAATAATTATTAACTATTTTTTTGTTAAATTTAAAATTAATACTAATACTAATCTTCAATTTAAAAAATTTATTTTGGTAATATTATTTTTTTAGAATTATTTTATAAAAACAATATTAATAATAAAATATATTTATTTAATTTTCTAATCTATGTATTGATAATTAAGTTTGTTCTAAAAAAATAATATTATTATAATTTTATATATCGGTTTTGTATTATATAAAATTAGCTTTTAGTTATGTTTTACTTATTTATTTAATTTCATAAATTGTTTCTTATTAATATTTAATTTCTTCGTCATGAAAAAAATATAATAAAATAATGCTTATTTCAATTTATTTTGATTATCCTAAGATTATAATTACAATAATTTTTCTGAAAAAATATTTTTTATTTTAGAATAAAACATAATTTAAAATTATTATTATTATTATTATTATTATTATTATTATTATTATTATTATTATTATTTTATTATTATTATTATAAAAGAGATTTTATAAAATGAATATTAATAAATATATTAATTATATATATAAATATATATATTAATATATATATATATATATATATATTTACTTTATTCTTTAATTAATTATTTTTATTTCTTTATAATTATTATTTTAAATTAAGAACCAAAGTATTAATAAATAATATAAAAATTAATTTTTTTTTTTTTTATAAAAAATTTATTTATAATTTTATTAAAAAATAAAAAGAATTCATAAAATTTTAAATATTTAACAAAAACATTTGAAAATAAATAAAAATATTCCATTGCTTTCTAAAATGCATTTATTCTTTTTAATATAAATTATTATATTTATTTTTAAAATATAAAATGTATTAATTAAATTATTATATATAATATAAAAAAATAAATAAAATTTATATTTTAATTTAAAAGATTATAGTTATTTGTTTAAAAAATAATAAAAATAATTTGCAAATATAAATTTAAATAGATTATTTAAGTAATTATATGTTAATAAAATATTTCTATAAATATACTAATTATATAAGATATATGAATTTAAAAAAATCAAAGAAAAATAAAAAAAAATAAAAATATATAATAGATAAATATAAAAATATATATCTAAAAATAAATAAATTTTTTTTTTAAAAAAAAATATAATAATTATATAAATATATATATATATATGTATATATATATATATTTATATATTTTTCTTAAATTTATATATATACATATATATTTAAATAATATTTATTTTTTAATTCTTTTTTATCTATTTTATCATAAAATTTTTATTTAACACATTTTTTTTTATGTATTTTTTCATTTAATTAAATCATTTAGTATTTTATATATTATTAATTATTAGCATATAAAATCATTTTACTCATTTAAATTTATATAAAGTTCTATATTTACTGATAAAGAATCTAAAAATAAACATAACTATTAATATATTTAATTTAAACAATATAAAATAAATAAAATTTATTAAAAAATAAATATATTTTTCTTAATAGAAAAAAGAAAAAAAAATTATTATTCAAAAATAAAAATGAAAATATGTTATTTTGTATTATTTATAACTGTTTTCTAATAAATCAGACATACTTATTAAACCTAATTTAAGTGTTTAAACACAACACAAGCAAATTTATTATAATTAACTCCTTCAGCTGATGCCAATTATTGTGCAAATACCATAAACTGGCCTATTTCTTAAGCTACAATAGATAAACGTGACCAACTAGATAATTTAGCTTTATAACGATATAAGAAATTATATGAAAACTGGAAACTTTCTGGAGGAGACAATAGTTTAAACCCTACAAATGATTGTTTAGGGGTTGCTAGAATTATTTTTTGTGCGTACCATTATCCTGTATGTGATGAATAAATAGGAGATCATAATAATGTATGTGATTTTTTATGTGATTTATTAAAAGATAGATGTCCTGAGGAATAAGATAATTATAATACTATATGTAATAATAGAAAAGGGGGTTCTTTATGTGCTTTTGGGAATATTTAATATTTTTCTGTTATTTTTTTTATTTATTTATTGTTACATATTATATGAAAATATATATAAACATTTATTTATATATACAAATATTTAAAAAATTAATTTAAAAAAATAAATAATAAATGGGTGCTTGTTAAAGTGAAGAAATATAAAAATAAAATATATAATAAGGAAATTATAATATTTAAGATGAAAGAAATTTTCCATCTCTAAAATAAAAAAAGTAAACTTCTTAAAAAAATATAGAAAATAATTCTTAAATATACAATATTTATTAAGAAAATAACATTAATAATTCAATATAAATATAAAATTCTTCAAAAGAAGACGATTAAAATAGTATATCATATTATCGGGAAACCTTCTAAGAATAAACTTAAAAAAGAAAATAATTCCAAAACTTCCCTTATTTTAATACGGAATGGACCCTCCAGAAGATCAGAAAAATAAACTGAAAGAATTCCGCAAAGCCCAAAAATTGGAAAATAATACAACATATGTAGGAGAATGGGTAGGCGAGAAAATGCACGGTAAAGGAATACTAACATGGCCAGATGGTTCGAAATACGAAGGTTTTTTCTAGGAAGGAAAAAGGGCAGGAAGAGGTAGATTTACATCTTCAGAAGGCGATATTTATGAAGGGGAATGGATAGATAATAAGGCTCATGGATATGGTGTGTAATATACACAGATATCGACTTATAAAGGGGATTGGAAAGACGATTTATAGTGGGGTTTTGGTGAAGAAGAGTGGATAGATGGAAGCAAGTATAAAGGGGAGTATATAGAGGGGAAAAAATGCGGAAAAGGGATTTTTATATGGTTTGATGGAACTTAGTTTTAAGGGGAATTTTAAAAAGGGGGGATCACTGGATTCGGTAAAATGATATATTGTAATGGAAAAGAATATGAAGGAGAGTTTTGGGAAGGAAAACTACATGGAAAAGGCTGCTTTAAGTGGCCAGATGGAAAGAAATATATAGGAGAATATTTTTATGATAAAAAATAAGGGAGAGGCGCTTTTTTATGGCCAGATGGAAGAAAATATGATGGTGAATGGCTGGATGGAGTTTAAAATGGAATTGGATGGTTTTTCGATAAAGATGGGAGCGTTAAATAAGGAATTTGGGATAATGGAGTTAGAATTAAATGGATTGATGACTACAATGAAAATCAATAAAATATATAAAAATAAGATACAGTTAATTAATAAATATAATTTAAATGAAAGTTAGAGTTTTTTATTTAAAAAAAAAATGTATATTTTTTAGTTATTTATATATTTAAAATTTTTTTTTTATTATTATTTTAATTTAATATAAATGAATGTTTTAATATATAATTTAATATTTTATATATTCGTTTTTAAAATTAATAAATATTACATTGTATTATATTATTTAAATTATTTTTTAGTTTTATTATGTAAATAATTTAAAATAACGAAAATATTAAATATTCGAATATTTAATATAAATTATTTAATAATTATGTTATTTAAAGAATAAAAAAAAATTCTATTAATATAAGAGTTATATAATAATAATCACTCTTTTTAAAAATTTAATGAAATCATTAAAAAATTATTTTTTATCAGCATAAAAATTTTAAAAATGTAATATATATAATATCTATTATATAATAAATTTAAATTTACAAAGAAAAAACATATATATTAATTAAAAATTAAAAAAAAATTGATTAAACAGAATTAATAAAAATAATTTAAATTCTTATTCTCTTTTTAAATAAAAAATGCAAAAATAAAATAAAATATTATATGGGCATTATTTAAATATTACTATATATATGTGTATATAAAAAATATTATGTTTTTAATATATATTTAAAAAAAAATTATCAATAGAAATAAATATTATATATATTTTAATGTAAATATTTTACTTTAAATAAATTTTAAATAAGTAATAAAATCAGTTTTTTTTTTAAAAGTAAATAATAAAATATAAAAATTACATAAATAAATTTATAATTTATATAAATGAAATGTATATTTTTAATATAATATTTAAAAATTATAAATATTATACATAAATAGTTAAATTAAAAATATATACAAAATATAAAATGCATTTTAAAATAATCAATATATTTTACTTTAATTATACATTTATGATAATTATATAAGTAGTTTTTCTTAATTAGATTTACTTAGATAATTAAACTAATTAATAATTTATTAATTGGCTTCATTTTCTTTATTATAATTAAGTATTTATTCTTATAAATTTTAAGGCAATTTATCTAATTAAATTAAAATTTAAGATCCAGAAGAAGGTGATTGTTATAATAATAATTATTATTATTATTATTATTATTATTATTATTATTATTATTATTATTATTATTATTAATATTTTATTTTTTCATCTTATTCTTTTTTTAATTTATTTATAATATAATTCTAAGTTTATTTATTAAATTGATTAAATTGATTTACAAGCTATTATTATTAATTAAATTATTCACTTGAAAATTGTTAATTTTAATAATTTAATTTTGTATATGAATTATTAACTTATAAATTTGTAAACGATGTGAAAGAATTAATACTATTATTTTATATTGAAATAGGTGTATTTATAAAATTTAAACTTGAATTATTAGTTAAAGTACTTTAAGTTGAATATTAAGGAAATGTATCTGTAAATTTTGGAATTTATAATTGAGGCAGATCTAATATTTTTTATTAAATTTTTACATTTTCTACTTCTATTGCTTTATTGTTTTATTTTTTTAAAATCTCTTCTTATTCTTTATTATATTCATCTTTTAGTTATTATAAGTAAATAGGTTTTAAATGTGAATAGAATCTGTTTTTTATTCTATTTTCAGGTCTATTGTGAAGATTTTTAGCTATTAAAGACCATTTAGGACCGTTTTTTTGAAAAATATCGATTATAAGTTAATCTTCTTATTCTGTAAAGGGTGTCTTATTAATATTGGGGTCTAACACATTCATGAATCTCTCCCTGATTTATTTTCCTGATTTAGAAGGTATATGTTTAGAAAGTATATGCCATTATTTTCCATATTATTGGATTAAATTTAGAAGTTTATCATCAAGTTCTTTATCCCATTAATTTTCTTTTTTTGAACGAGTCAGTTTTCTCCATCTTTAATAACATTAAGAAGGATTTCGGTTTTATAAAAAAGAGGAAATTTATTCCCAATCTTAATTGTATTATTTTTAAAGAGAAATTAATTAGTTTTCTTCTTATTTTGTCCATACTTTTAGATAACGAGGTTTTTTTATAATTTTAGAATGATTTATTATTATTCTTTATGTATTTAATGTTGATTTGGTTTCAGGGGATGATTCTTGTTTTTAGAAGTTTTGTGGTGTTTGAAACATTTTTATGGTTTTTTTTTTATTAATGTTATTAATTTCTAATTATTAATAATTAATTATATGTTTTTTAAAAGTTTTAATAGGATTTTTTTAATAAGTATAGTTTTTTTAAATATTATTTTTTAATTTATATTTTATTTTACGTTAATTTTATACGCGGGTAGATTTTTATAATTATAATATTTTTATAATATAATATTGGTTTTTACATATATAATTAAAATAAAATTAAATTTTAAAATTATACAATAACTAATAAAATAATTTATTAAAAAAAAAAAATTTTTTTAAAATAAATTAAAAAATAAATAAGTTATTTAAAATGAAATTACGTTTAATTTAAATGGAAAATAGAAAAAATTCATTTAATAAACAATAATAAAATAAAAAATTATTTAAATTAATAATATGAATTTTTACAATATTCTTAATCTAAATATCTTAATATATAAAAAAAATTAACTTATATAATATTTATAAAATTATATAAAATAATAATTTATATTGTAAAACAATTTAAATTATATTTATAAAATGTAAATTGTATATATATATAATATCATATAAATTTATAAAATTATTTTTATTTTTTATTATAAAACATATAATTATAAAAAATTATAAAATATATAAGTTCTTATCTAAAAAATATTTTTTTTTCCTTAATATTATTTAAGATATTTATTAAAAATATTACTATAATTTTAAGTCAAATTATTTATTTTCAATAATTTTTATTTAATTTAAAAAATATTTTTATAATAATAATTATTTATATAAAATACATAATAATAAAAAGGTAATTAATAAAAATAAAAAAAATTATATTCATAAATATTATTTATTTCTATTTTATTTTTTAACCAAAAAATATTTTAACAACTTGTATAAAAATAAAGGCTATAAATTAATAGTAAAATAAAAACAAAAAATACAAATAAAATAATAATTATGGTAACTTTAAAATATTAAAAAATATATATATTATAAATTAAAAAGAATATTAATATTTATTTAAAATTATATAATTAACAGCTATATTATTATATCTAAAAAATATATAAATATTATGATAAAATTATATATTTTTGATAATAAATATGTATATTAAAATTTGATAAATTATTATTATTAAAAAGAAATTAATTAAAAAATATAAAAATATTTACTATTTAAATAAACTGCAATAAAAATAAATGAGATTTAATCGAATTTCAAAAAATATATATTATATTTTGAAAAAAATATCATATTTAAAAATATTCAAATAACCTAAATATTTAAATAAATAATTATAAATATTTATATTTATATATATATATAAATATAAATTTATTTTATATTTTTATTTTACTAATTTTTATTTTTAATTATTTATTAACTATTATATTTTATTTAAAATATTCTAATTATCATTACAAATAAAAAAATCAATTATATTTTCAGAAATACACTTTACCTAAATAAATGAATGAAAGGGAATATAATCATCGAAATTTCTTTTATAAAAACTCCATTCTTTAATATTTAATCTTAAAAAACATTAAATACATCCACAAACTAATAAACTTGGCTCTACGAAAATAAAACTAAATTAAAATTCAAAAATTGTCGATTCTAAAATTTCTAAAATCTTAAAAAGTATAACAATGAATGAAATTTTATAAAAATTAATAATTATATTTATTTTTATTATATTTATAGACATATAAATTTTAATAAATAAAACATTTTTGCTTATTTATATATAAATTTTACTACAAAATAATCTTCTTTTTATAATTAAAAAATACTTATAAATTTATCTAAAAAATCTAAAGGAGAAACAAAAGAAAGTTCGTAATTTATTTTTTGACATATTTTTAATTCTAATTCATAATAAAATTCTTTATCATGTTCTTCTCCACTTAAAAAGATTAAATTTTCTAATTCTGGGGGATATATTTCTTCTATTTTAGCTGCAATATATAGACATGTCACTGCATAATCCTTATATAAATGTGTCTCGATTTCGTGTGTACTTTTTATACTTAAATAGTCAAGTATTTAGCTAAAAAGAATCCTCGTTTTTAATGAAAGTTCATTTATTTTACATAAAACAGATATCCATTCCATTAGATAAACTCTTATATTTTCTTATAATTTAATTTGGAAAAATGAGAGAGGCTTCATTTCCTTTTGAATATAATTTTGTTACTTTTTAAATAAGTAATTTAAAATTCTTTGGGCATAATAAGGACAATATTTTAATTTTTAAAGCTTATCTTGGTCTAATTTATGGACTAATTTTTGTGTTATTTATTTAACTATTTCATCATTTTTTTTTGAAGGGTTTTTTCATCTGAAAAATGCTTTAGAATGTTTTTTGAGGAATTTAGAATGGAAAAACGCGATTTTTTAGCACTTTGTGTTTATTTGGAAATGTTAGTGAGTGGTTTACCAAAAAATCGTTTATCTTCGTTTTTTGAAAACATTAATTTTTTTTTTTTTTGAAAATGTTAAATTTGCGCAAATTTTATAATTTATTTTTTTAGTGAAAAATAATAAAAAATTAATTATATTAATTATAAAATTTATTGAGTATTTTGATATATAAATATTTTTTACTTTCTAAATATAAATTATTTTTAATTATCTAATATGTAAATATTTACTTTTTTTTGTATAAAAATATTATTTTATTAGTAATTATTTTTATTATCTTTTTATAATTTTTTTAAAATAGCTATTGTTTATTTAAAAACATTATTAAATAGTAAAAGATTTTGAAATTTAATTCATAATAAAACTTTTTAATTATAATATTTATTTTAATTTAATTATAAAAATTATAGCAGATATGAATATATTTTTTATTGAGAAAAATTAATATTTTCATATGCATTTATATAAAAAAAAAATGATTAATTTTATTTATTCAATATAATAATTTGTTTATTCAACAGTAATATTTTTGTGTTCATTTTTTTCCTTTTTTCCCCCCTTTTTTATTGTTTTATTCTTCTAATTCTTTTTATAAACGTTCTTCTTCTTCTTTTTTTTATTTGCTTATTTTGGCTTCTTCAATAAGGTCTCTTATTTTTTAAATTTCTTATTCTAAATTAACATTTTCTTCTTTTATTAAATTTATATTATTCTATAAATCTTCAGATTTTTGCCATTCTTCTTAATCTTTATAAGCCCCGAAATAATCTTATAAAGCTTACATTGGATTTTCCGGAAGTTCTTTTGCATTTTTAATTGAAAGTAGATCTTTTTTTTTAATTTATTTTAATTTTTTTGTTTTTTTACATTTAACTATTGCTAATACTACTTCTTTGTCTGCTAAATATTTACGAAATTCTTTTATTTTTTGTTTTTGTTTTTCATTTTGGGAATATACGAATTCTTCCTATTGGTTTTTTAACATTTTTTTATATTTTATAATATTTATTATATAATGTAACTTTTTTTTTATTTATTATTCTTTAAAAAAATTAAATTAATTTTTATTTTAAATATATATCAATATAAATGCAAAAAATTATTCAAATATATTTTTATAAATAAAGAAAATAAAATAACTTGATTTAAATAAAATGTAAATTGTATAACAAACAATTATATTTTTTTAATACATATTTAAAGAAATAATTAATAAAAATAAATAATTTTATACCATAAATATTTAATAAATAAATTATACTAAATAATATATTAAATAAAAATAATATATATATATATATATATATATATATATATATATATATTTATTATTTTTATATATAAATATATAATTATTCTATCAATAATATTTTTTTTTTTATTATATTTTAATTTCATGAAAAGTTATTAATATAGTACTTATATTTTTAAAAATAAAATTAATAATATTTTTTATCATTTATACTTTATTTTCATAAAAATTTTATTTATTGTATCTTTTTTTTTAATTATATTTAGCAAAATAATTATTTAACTGTTATTAAAATTAGTTTAATAATATTTATATATAACATAAATATATTGATTTTCTCAACTTTTTAATGAATCTTTAAAAATATTTTGCTAAAATTAATAATATTTAAAATATTAATTGATTATTAATTATAATTATGTAATCTAAAAAATTATAATTTGTTTTGTTAAAATATATGAAATATATTTGTTTTAACTTTAAAGATTTTCATATAAGTATTATTAGATAAAATATTTATATATAAATAAATTAAAAATAATATAATTTTTTTTACTTTTAAATAATAATTTTTTATTTTTTATATAAATAAATTTTAATATTACATATTTATTTTATAATCAAACAAAATTTGCTTTTATATTTATTAGTTTATTTAAAAGTAAATAATTTATTAATTTATTAAATAAAGTAATTAAATATTTAAAATTATTAAAACTAATATTCTTAAAATATTAATTTTTAATAAAATAAAATAAAATAAATTAAATTAATTTTATTTATATTTAATTTTTTTATTTTAAAAATATAAAATAATAATACTGATATTAATAAAATATAACTTTTCTAATTATATCCATTAATAAAATAGTTTATAACCAATTATTTTTAAATATGAAGAGATATTAGTTTAATTATTGAAAGAAGAATTAATTTATTAAAAAAAAAATACTAATATATTAAATATTATTTTCTTAATCGGATTTATATTATATGTAAATAAAATATATATATTTTTTTTCTTTTATTTTATTTATTATATAAAAATAATATTTTTATATATTATAATTATGAATTAAAAAAAATTATTGGAACAATAATTTATAAAAAATGGAATGAGAGGAAAATATAAGAAAGAAATATGTTTAAATTATTTTATAGTGTTTGATAGCATAATAAAAATAAAAAGTAACTTAATTCTTGCAATAAGTTAAGATTTTAATATAATATTAATCATAAATTCACAGACTTAAAAAATAATAAAATTTATAAATCTAAAAAACATAATATAAATAAAATATATAAATAAAAACATATGTATATTTACAACATAAAATAAAATACTTTTCGTGAACGACTTTCTTTTCGAATAAAATATTATAAAAGAAATAGACGTTGAACATTTTAAATATTAGATTTTTAATTTGCACCGCAATTTTTTTTCTATTTTTTTTAAAGAAGAAAAAACACTTTCTATTTTCCAAAATTTCACCCTAATAAATACCATTCCACTCTAAATAAACGTTTAAATGGTTTGGCCTTTATAAAATCATGAAAATCTAATTGCTATAAGTGATAATAAATAAATAAAAATATATAATTGGTAAAAAAAAGAAACTCTTTTAGATATAAATAACCTAAACTTTCAAATACCTAAAAGATGCCTTTTTTTACCCCTTAACCTTAATTAATATTTAGTATCTTCTATTAAGTCTATGAATATTATTGATATTCAAAATAAAATGGGATATAAATAGGAATCCTTTTGGTCTGATAATATAATGGGATTCTTTATAAGTTTTATTAACGTTGATGATAAATTTCTTATAGGAAGTTTTTTGGATGAATATTAGGATTATAATATCTATGTTTTAAATAAAGTTTCAGGAATGAATTTCTTTTCGCATGTTTTTTCGGACCACATTTTTACAAAAATTGGATTTAATAAATTTATAACGACTTTATCAAGTACAAGTTGTACCAAATTCTTATTTTGGGAATGAAATAAAAATATTAATATAGGTATATATATTAATTTTATTTTAATATGTAAAACATTTTTTTTATAATTTATACAATTTTTTTTTGTTTTCAATCAAATTAATTATTTTTTGGTTATTCGTGCTTAAACTTTATAAAATCTATGCCCACATAAGGTTACTTTTTTTTTATTTTCAAAAAAATAAAATAATATTTAGAAATTTTTACTAAAACATCAGGAACTCTAATTCCTTCTTTTTCTTAGTAATTTTCTAAAATACAAGTAAGTGTCCTTTAAGCTGCACATAAAGTCCCATTTAACAAATGCACATATTATTTATTTTTAGGTTCTCCAGTTTAAATATTAAGTTATCTTGATTAATAATCTGTACAATTAGAAATTGACATTAGTTCCTATGTATTAAAAAAAAAAATACAAATATAAAAATTAAGTTAAAAAAAATAATAATAATTTAATTAAAAAATGTATATTGTTTGTTTATATTTTTTGTTATTAAAAACTCAATCAATAAAAGTTAAATACGAGAAAAAAATGGATATTGGCTATTTAAATTTGTTTATTGAGATTTTTTTTAAAAAAATATAATTTATGAATAAATAATATATAAAAATATATATATATATATATATATAATATATATATGTATAAATATACAAGAATAAAAAAAAAATACTTTATATTCCCTATACCCTGGAAACCAGCATTCCAAATCACATTTTTTTGCAGCAGCACCATTTAAAGCCCCTGAAACGATACTAACAACCCTATAAGGTATTTTCAGGTTTTACAGAAACTCTTCCGAAATCTAAATCATATTATCAAATTCTTCCCAAGATTTTTAAGGTTCACAAATTATAAACTATTCTACTTTTTCAAATTAATGTACTCTAAAAATTCCCCAAGTTTACCTTCCTGCTGCTCCTGCTTCTTTTCGAAAACAGGAAGAAATCCCAGCATATTTAAATGGGAGATTTTTCTAGTCTATCCATTCTTAAGAATGTAGACCGCATAAAGGCTATTCTGAAGTGGCTATTAGGTACATATCTTCTTGATCTTCTTATTAAATTTTATATAGATTTTCCTCAAATTCTTATAGTTGGCAAATTTCGTGCATTATATGAGATTTCATTAAAAATGGAGTTTATATTGGGGTATAATTTCTTTTCATTAGTAAATTTTAACCATAATTAATTAAACTTTAGAGCAATATTAGCCCGTAGTTTTTTAAAAAATAACCTCGGTGTCCAAATACTTTCTGCCCTCTTTTTTAATCAAAACCATCGATCATGTATAGGAGCTAATGGTGGTGTAAAATAGGATTTTTTAGGGGAATTTCACCCCATTTTTTTTCGATTTTATTGTCTTTTTCGTCTTTGGATATTGGGACAGATTCATGTACAATATTTCCTATTTTTTATAGCAATTTTTGGATTTCTGCTTACTGGTTTTGTAGATCTTATTAGAAATTTTGTATAATTTTTTGTAGTTCAATTTTTTCTTGGAGGATTTTCTCACAATTTTCATTTTTTTTTTTTAATTCACCAATTTTTTTGTTTTTTTAGTTTAATTCTTGACGAAGATTTTCATAATTATATTAATCTTTATTTATTTTATTTTATTTTTCTTAGTGATTTTATTTTTTTACTTTTAATAAAATTTTTGTCTAAATTTACAACTTTTTAAACAATTTCTGTATCTGAAAATCGTTTTTTTTATGATTCGATTATTATTTAGGGGTTACCTCCTTTTTTTTTTTTTTTTCTTTAGAATTGATTGTTTTTAACCTTTTGATTATCGGAATAAATTTATGTCTAATGCAAAATTATATGTGAATTTATTTTATAATTATTTTATAAATAATTTATTTATTTTATAGATCATTTTTTTAATATATAATTATATTAAAATAAAAAGATATATTTTTTATTTTAATTAATGTATAATATATTTAATAAAAAAACTTTTATTATTTATTTATTTATTTCTACAAAAAAATTATTATTTTTATGTTTGTAATAATTTTAGTTTATTATGAAATAAAGTAATAATATTTTTAATTATATAATTTATATATCCGTTTATAATTTATTTTTTAGAAGAAATTATAATGTCTTTTTATATTTAGTAAAAAAATTATAAATTTTTATAATATAAAAATTAAATATTTTAATTTAATTAAAAAAATAAAATAGATACATAAAAAAAAAATCAAAAAAAATATGAAAATATTCAAAATTAAATCTAATATAATATAAAATATTAACTTAAAGAATTTTTAAACTTTCTAAATAAGAAAAAGAATATATAATATTTTAAGAAATGTCTTTTTCTGATATAAGTTAAAGTTTATATTAATAAGTTTGACTATAAAACGATGATAAGATTCAAGAAATAGATTCTTCAAAATGAAAAATATTAATTATAATAAGTTTAAAATTTTATAAAGAAATAAAAGTAATAATTTGATAAAATTTAAATAAATGTGAAAATACTTTGTAGAAACTATAAATTAAAATAAAGTTGAAAATGGTTAAAAAAATGAATAAAAAAATTTAAATTAAGAATGAAAAAAATCATATTTTTAAATAAATTGAAAGTTAATAATTTGAAAAAGAATAAGAAATAGAATTGAACAAAAAAACTTTGAAAATTTACAACTTAAACGAAAAAATTAAATAAAAGAAAACTTTTCTAAAGAAATTCTTAAAAAAACCTAATAACTTAATAAGAAATTGATAATTCAGAAAAATCATTATAATTTAATTATTTACATGCTCTAACTCTAAAAAATAGCTATTTTCGTTTATTTTTATTTCTACAGATAATTAATAATTTATAATTTATTTAAATTAAAATTAAAATATATTATAAAATATTAAAGAAAGAAATAATAAATATCAATATAAATAAGAAGAAATAAAAATTAATAATAAATACAAAAAAATTAATAATAGCAGTAATATGTAAAGAATTAATATAAAAAAGAAATGTTAATATAAATAAAAAAGTCTTAATAATAATAGTAATATATATAAATAATAATAATAAAATATACTAAATTAATAGCAGCAAAAAAACTATTTAAAATTAATAATTACGCAAAGAATAAATAAATGATAAAAAATTGAATAAATTTAAGAAAATTATATAATAGTAATCTTAATAACTTTTAGAAAAATAATCTCAAGAAATTTCGGAAAACACACAAAATATAAAAATATAATTAAATATATTAAATAATACAATTTTTATTAAATTAAAAAAATTAAAAAGGAATAAATTTTGAAAGAAAACTATTTTGTGGTTTTAATTAATACAAATTTAATCTTGATTACAAAAATTTTAAATTTTTTGTTTCTGATTATCCCCTTAAAGAAAATATTAATTTCATTTCATATTTATATCTTAAATATAATAAAAGTCTATTTGGAAATTAACTTAATTTAGTCTTCTTAATTTAAGGATTTTCAATGGATAAAGCATTATAACTTATTTATATCTTATTTGAATTATTTTTTTAATTTAATTCGATTGAATTTTTATATTATTTTGTTTATGATTTTAGAAATATTTATATATTTAAAAAAAAAAAAAAAACAAACAAATAATGAAAAAATTAATATTTTTAATATATATTTAATACAATAATTGTTTGTATTCTTTATCATTGATATTAAATATCAGTTTCAAATGTAATATGTTATTCTTAAATAGTCAAAACATGATTTAAAAATTTGAAATTATTAGGCGTTAATTTTTAAACAGAAATTCCTGAAGAGCATATAATTTCAAAATTAATCTAGTTAACAATAACTTTTTCAATAAGGTTCAAAACAATATTTTTGACTAAATTTTTGACAATAAATCCTACTTAAATATCTGAATCGATTGCCTTAATTTTATTTTATTTATATATAAAAAAATTGAAAAAAATTACTAAAAAATATCCAAATTAAATTGAATCAACTGAATATGAAATAAGATCAGTGGTAGTATTTAAACTTAAATTAATATTAGAAATCATATATGTTTATATTTAGAAAGCAGATATATGTGAACCCTAAGTTCTTATTTAAAAGTCTAAAGCTAAGTCTGTTTTTGCTGTAATTTCGTTTCTATTTATTGATATTATTGGTTAGGAAGAGAAAGTTAATAAAATATCCAATATAGGATTTTTTCCATATTTTTTACTAAACTAAGGTATTATTAATACTAAAATTTCTACGACATTAGTTTATAGTTCTTTTTTTTTTTTTTTTACATATTAAAATATTTTTTTTTAATACTTTTTATATCTTCATAAGGAATTAATACAGATTTATTATTTTGGTAAAATTAAAGGGTAATTTAATTAATTGCTTCTTCATTTAAAGAAAATTAAAAGTCTCTTCTTTAAGAAAAATGGGGGTTAAAATTTTTAACTGGCTCTTAATTATTTTGTTTTAAACCCGCTTTAACTTCTATATAATTTTAAGTTATCAATACATTATCTTTAAAAGCCAATTTATTATTTATTAATAATTATTAAAAATAAGGTATTAATTATCTATTTATTAATTCTTTTTGAATTATTTATTACATTTAAGTTTTTTTTCGTTGATAAAACTATTAAAGAAAGGTTTAAATAAAGATTTAAATCTATTTACCCATGAAAGAATTTCAAAGTCTGCAGTAAAGTCTCCTTCATAATTTATTAATTAAATATCCATTTCTTATTAATTTTTTATGTTAAATTTAACTTCTATTCTAAAATTTTTTTATATTTAAATAAAAATTCATTGGATCATTATACTTTTTTTAAATAGATTTTTTTTTATAATAATTTTTAAATTTTTTTATATAAAAAGGATATTTTTTACAGTAAATAAACAGAAATCTCCATGTCCAAAAAATAATCCTCTTATCCATTTTTAAACTTATAATTTATTTATGTGTAAAGAAGTTTAAAAAAATTAATCTTTTTATTTTTTTAATTTATATTATTATTATTTATTACATCAAATAGCATTGTTCCGCTTTAGGTCAAACTTATATTTAATTAATTTTCTTAAATGTTAAAATCTGTAACTTAAATTTTTTAAATATCCAAATCAACTCCTAATAAGCCTCCTGTTTTAGTTTATTTTTCATTTAGAAGTTCTCTTTATTGCATTTAGGCATTAAATTCTTTTACAATTTAAGTCTTTTATTTAGATTTTTATAAATATTTTTTTAAAATAAAATTAAAAAGTATACTTTTAACTTTTATATTAATGAGTTGTTTATTCTTAATATTATTATAGGTTAATTACAAGAAATTAAAATTAATATTTTAAATAAAATAATAAATGATTTCATTTTTTTAATTTTTTTATAGTAATATTGTTAATTTATTATTATAAATATTATTATAAATTAATTATTGAATTCGTTATTATAAAATCTTAAGGACAAAATTAATAATCTTATTATAAAATTAAATTTATTTATATTTTAGTAAAAGTTAGTTAAAATAATACTTATTTTTTATATTATTCTTTTGTAAAAAAATTAGCTATTTTTAAATATTTAAAAAAAATAAAAAATAAATTATAAAATTTCGGATTTTACTTAAACATAAAAAAATAAATTATAATTATATACAATTTATTAAAACTTAATTTATTTGTATTTTTCTTATATTTTTTATAAAAAATTAAAAAAATAAAAAAAAAAAAATTAAAAAAAAAAAAAAAAAAAAAATAATAAAAAAAACTTTAATTTTGTGATTAAATTTAAAATATAAATTAATAATAAAAAAAAATAATTATATATATTTATAATCTTATAAATAAAATTTAATTAAAGTAAATATTATAAATAAAATAATTAAATAATTTTATTTTATTTATATTATTAAAAATATAATAATTAAAAGATAAAGATAAAGATAAAAATAACAAAATTATATATTTATTTTTTAAATTTAAAATTACTAATATTTTTATTTTTAAGATATTACATTTAGTTGGAATTTGGGTTGGGGTTGGGGTTGGGGTTGGGGTTGGGGTTGGGGTTGGGGTTGGGTGGTTGGGGTTTGGGGTTGGGT